TGTGCAAATTTCTAATTTGCACACTTTTTTATATTACTTTTATAACTTTCATGTTCATATAATATTTGATAATAAAGTTTAAAGTTAAAATTACAATATTGAATCTTAAAGTTGAAAAACAAATTGCATAAATAATATCAAGAATTATTTGACGCCAGTACATGACTAACAATAATTAAGCTTTCAATTGACCATAACTGGCAACGTGTTTTTAGCACAGAAAATTTATTGCGAGAAGTATTACCTGAGACATGCCTCAGTGGTCGAACTGGCTAGAGAGTAGGAAAGTCCAGGTTCAAACCCTAGCTGAAGTAATATTTTTCGCAATAAATTTTCTGTGTTAAAAACACGTTGCTAGTTATGGTCGATTGAAAGCTTAATTATTGCATAAACAATCTTTTAAAATTAAAAATATAATAAAAAACAAAAAATTATTTTCATTTATATTGTGACTATTTTTTAAAAAGTAGTAGCTAATATAAAATATGTTTTAATCTTATCTTCTAAGTTTTAATATACATACATGGATATTCGAGTACATGTGTCACATACACGAATATTCGAACACACGTGTCACATACAAGACTGTACGTGTACACATGTCACGTATACAGGTACACGTGAAAAAAGATACCTTAAATCCGTGTACACGGATTACGTGTACACATGAATTTTAAAACACCTATCCAATCGAAAGCTCTACTTACGATGTCAATGGCATAGAATTTTCAGTAATATGGCAAATGTATGATAATTGAATTTAATATTGTAGATAGTAAGTGTTATTATGAATATCTCTCCTACTTATAATTTTCACATGCATTTTTATAAATAACTTTTTACATAAATATTTTATACGCTATGAGTTCTGTGTTTATATTACTGTACATTATTCATAACTACTTTCAAGAATTTATTTTAAGAATTTATTTTATTTTTAATTCAAATTATAGTTACAAAAAATTAATGCTTTATTTTTTGTGTTATTGTTTTCTATCGTTAAGAAATACACAATATGTGTATACGTAAATATTTAATATACATAAATAAATATTTTTATGAATATAGTTTGTAAAATTATGAGAGAGAGAGAGAGAGAGGAGAATTAGTTATTATACGTATAATATGTACAATCTATAATTATACATGGATTCGTAATTAAAATTATGATTTTAATACATTGAAAATTAATATGAAAGTATAAGTATAATGTATAGTTGCCATTACACAAAGCTTGATCATCAAAACATGATCTTGTCTTGTGTAAACTGTTTGTATTTTACATGATAAGTTATTATTGTATACTAAATCGCAAAACATCACGTCTCCTTGCAAAAGAATTTTACGTGACATGACTAATGAATCAATTCCGCATTTACAAATTATGCATAATTTAGTATACATTATTATAAGATTATACCAAGTTGTATATGTAAAAATTCACGTTTCGTTAACTATCAGTTACATCAGATAGAAAAACAGTAACAAGTATGTGTAAAATTTGATGATAAGGCTTTCTTTCTTCGCTACAAAGCCAAATGCTTCATTATATAACGCTGACTTCAGCGTATCTTTTTGTAGGAATCGTGTCTTCGCATGAGAGAGAGAGAGAGAGAGAGAGAGAGAGAGAGAGAGAGAGAGAGAGAGAGAGAGAGTGTGTGTGTGTGTATATGTGTATGTCTTGAATCTAATTTGATCAAATTACGACAAATAAATCTCAAATCTTTCAGGTGAGAATATATTATATATATTACATTATTAATGAAATTGTACTTATAAAATTTCATTAAAAATTTTATTTAGAAAATTCTATTGTATTTTATTTTTACAATTCTATCTTGAAGATCTATCTTGTACTGTACAATAAAAGTTCTTTTTATAACATTTTTAATTAATTCCGTTCTAATTCTAGTGCGTTGAATTTACACGACATAAGAAAGAGTTTAATTGTCTTATGTAGGTTATTAACAAAACTTTATTTCTTTTTATTCTATTTGCACTTTATTAAAAATAAATTAATGTATAGTATTATTAAAATAATTAATAAAAAATTTTTTACGTAATCTGTTGTAATTTATATAATTTATATAAGTTGTTACAGAGAGAGGATTGCATAAAAGATGAGATTCACATTTGTGCTTAGTCTTTTACTGTTCTCTGGACTCGTTTTAGGAACAGAATATTATTTGGATACGTATGATAATATAGATGTGGATGCAATTATTAGTAGCGATCGTCTTTTAAATCAATATGTGAATTGTATTCTCGATAAAGGTCCCTGCACTGCTGATGGACGCAGTCTTAAATGTAAGTATATATGCAGTTTGTATTTTATGGTGATACATTATAATAATTTTATATAATATATTTTTCTTGTAAAAGAGGAGAGAGGGAGAGAAAAAAATTTTGATAAAAAAGAAAATACGAAAACAGTCAATATTTATATGGACCATGACATATATTCATTTGCGTACATACACTGAAATAAATAAAATTCATGATTTATGTAGTAATCATTCCGGAGGCGATAGCTACAAAATGCGAACAATGCAGTGACAAACAGAAACAGATGGCAAGAAAAGTATGCAAGCATTTGAAAGAACATAGACCAAACATTTGGACAGAGTTTCTCGAAAGATATGATCCTGACAAAGAGTACATTGCAGCTTACGAACAATTTTTGGTACAAGAAGCTAAGACGGAAAATTAATTTTTACTTCGTTAATTTGTTATATGTATGTAATGTATAAATAATTTGCTGTTTTTGGATAGATTTATATTGTATGTCGCATACCTATACAAATAAAACGCTACTAGTAAATACAATATACAATAAATGTCCGCCACTCTGTTTTTCTTGCACGTTTTGTAACACTAATTTTTTTATTAACTCACTTGTATTTACTTTAAACTGAAAACCTTTTTGCTAATTGATTTTGATATGGGTTATTGCAACATGCAACAGTCGCATGGTTTTAAACTTGTTTATTAACAAGAAAAGAATCAAGTGTTCTCCTCCGATTTAAATGAGCTTTTATTTTCCAGCTCAAAATAAGAGACATGTATATTTTTATATATGCCTATACGTACTTTTATGGGGATAAAACGCCTCTTTGAAGAAAATCGGTTTTTCTCTTTTGTGCTAATATTACTGAAACGATAGAGAAAATTGTTCAAATTAAAGTTGAATGGTTTGAGGAGTATTAAACGGTAACAAAGTTTTTATTAATCAAATTGAAACTCAAACGCCATTTAGGACCTGGCATAGGTGATGGCCATTAAATGACTAAGTGAATCCATATACTGTCTTTTCCTACCCTGTACTGCGCGCCGTTACTTTTCGGACATACATGTGGACATACACTCCATCCACCACTTTACTTTCCACTTTATTCACCCTTTTCCTTCCCTCTCCCTCAGCTCCTTTTTCTCGACACATTTCCCTATGCCACCTCTCACTCGGTCATCTCGCCAGGCTCCCCCCTTTAATATTAATATTATTTCCTTTATTTCTTCGGATAAAATTTTATGCTTGATATTGTTTGGATATAACATTCTAATATAAAAAATAATGAAGTACCTAGTTTGTATAAATATTCAGTTTAGTTGGCGCCATTTGATGATATCATTACTTTGGTGAGAGGGGAAGAAAAATAATTTTTTTTTAAATAAAAGATATTCAAATAATTAAATTATATAATTCTTGATTGGATGACGCTTATCACGAGACACGGTAGTGTCTCGCGCCAAGTGTAAGCGTAGCTAGTACACGCGTGCGAGACCGACCGTGTAAGTTACGCGAGTACACGAGTTGACGGGCCCTCAGATTTTCGGATCTCAACACCGGCTGATCCGACGAAATTGAGACTGCGCTTAATCGATAGCTTGGGTACGATTTGCATAATAAAATGTTTTTACTTTTCTCCTACGTGCTCCAGGAGTGGAGGTATTGCAATGCAAAAGTCAGATTTGTTAAATTTTGGATTAAGAAAC